CCATCGTGAACAACTCTTCTTTCTTCTCGTCTTGAATAAAAATCACGTTCCAAAAAAAAAATCCTAACACTAATTCTAACACTACCTACCCCGTAACTAATCCTATCCTAAACATCCTAATCTAATTTAAATTGCAAAAACACACCCTACCAAATTCTTCCTGTCACATTTTAACAAGTTCCTACGCCTACGCATCCTACAAATTCCTATAACAATTAACCTCCACAATGGACACCTCTTTTCCCTTAAAAATGACATGTCTGGGTACCAAAATAACTTTTTACCCGAACGACAAAACAACCCTAATCTGAATTTACCTACAAAATTTTTTACCTACTTTCGCGTTTCCCTGAAATTGCCCCACGTTGGGCGCCAAATTATTGTTGTGAGACCTAACCTTCACTTCTGGGAATCCCACGATTTACCTCTAGCTAGCTCAGTTGTAAATAAAATGAAAACAAAATTTTTCCCGCATCTCAAGGTCCAGCTGGATTCTGCCACCCTACAGCATTCCAACAATGACATAAATAGGTGGCTTAACCAAATCCTTAAATTCCAATATGAAACTTTACCCGCAGATTTAATCAACTTGAAACAAAGTAAGAGACGCCGACAATTACCTCTCCTTGACTCTAAATAACAAAACCTGGATTGCAATAACTGGTTTAATTTCAAACAAAAAATTGCGTAAATTTCTGTTTTACAAATTGTTACAATTTTAAACAGATAAATGACACACACAAAAAAAAACAAATTACTCAAACATTACAAAAAAAAAACATGACAAAACAACACACTAACTACTACTTACTTTTAAAATTAGTCCGAATAACGTATTCCGATAAAAAGAGGTATCCGTACACAATCACGTAAACCAACCACTCAAACACCGACGTCTTCTCTCTTCGGGTACCCACAAATTCAAAACTTCCGTGTTTCCGCAAAATAAAAAAAACAGGACGACGACAAACTTCTTAAACTTCTCAATAATTCTTCTTAAAACGGCAGACACAAAATTCTAATTAAACCTGGATCCAACTACGCAGGAAAACTTCCACAAAATTCAAGAATAACGTAACCGAAGAAGCGCCGGTTGGCTTTGTAACGACCCAAAAGCCCCGCTCTCTTCCAAAATTTTCTATTTAAGCCAAAAGCCCTTCTCCTTTCTTCAACATCCCGTCCGCCAATCACGCGAAGCGTCGATTTTTCAACTTCTTGCTGAACGGCACGTACGCCCGGCAATTCTGCGAAGAACCTTATCTCTACTTCGCGCTATACCTCGTTAACGGCAAAATAAAATTTAAAAAGAAATTTACATCGAAAAAAATTCTAGGAATAAAATAAAAACAGAACACTTCTAAGAAATTGAACCAAAACTATAACATGAAATTTACGCAATCCTGTGTCTCAAATTATTAATAACCCCCCGGTTAATTAATTGAACTAAACAAAATTGTCACATCCAGACGCTCTATAATTTCTTTCAAGTTACAACTAAAACAAAATAACACAACAATATTAATATATACACAGGGTGTCCCAAATTGGTTTTTATTGTGGATTCAAAAATAGCAAACTATAGTGTTCTATCAAAAAAGATTTCCTGCCAAATCGGAAGTGAAAAAAAAATGTACAATAACTTTTATTCTAAAGTGTTACTCTAATCTGAAATAAATTGGTTCATAGATATCCGAGATATTCGGCCGTTCCAAGATTCATGATGACGCACTCTGTGTACTGGATATGCAACGAAGTACTCTCAGCTGTGGTAGACTTGCATAGATCCCTAAGCAGTATATAATTCTTAATATGCGTAAAATTCAAGGGGGAGCAACGGATTAACTCAGAAGGCTCTTTAAAGAGCTAAGGAAATTCTTGGAAGTGATGGAACATCACCTTTTTTCAAAACATTCTTGAAAATCCTGCAAAGAAACCAATGAGAGGTACAAACTTCTACTTGTAGGTACTTATATAAAAATACTGTCACTTTTTACAACACACGGAGAAAAATGTATGTTAAAGGTAATTAAAAATATAATAATAGCTATCAAAAACTATAATACGTATAGGGATAGCTATGAAGAATTATAAAATTTATCATATACATATTGTTGCAAGTGTATAGCTAGTTTTACTATATATTGTTTTAACTACGGGAGTAGTTGAATTAACATCTCCCCTTTGTATTAATAAGTAACTTCGATTATTGCAACTAATATACACACCCTGCCAAAAATCGACTGCATCAAAATTTCTCGGGAATTCTTATTAATTTTGGTGCGTAAAATCCAAAACAATTCGTACTTTTTCGATCAGACTTCTCAATCAAAAGTTATAGACTAGAAACCAATTTCGAAAGAAAATTCAAAGGGCTGCAACTTTTGAACTAGTAGCCCAATCTTGGAACTGTTTGAAATTATGGATTCTACAGGCCACATTCTATAAGAAAATTTTTTTTCCGGGTCGATCTGAGAATTTTTTTTTCGGGGCTCAAAAAAAGGCAGTGTATAACCTTCCTTTTTTACCAAAAATCGACTACACCAAAATTTCTCGGGAAAACACCTTTTCTTATTAATTTTGGTGCGTAGAATCCAAAACAATTCGTACTTTTTCGATCAGACTTCTCAATCAAAAGTTATAGACCAATTTCGAAAGAAAATTCAAAGGGCTGTAACTTTTGAACTAATAGCCCAATCTTGGAACTGTTTGAAATTATGGATTCTACAGGCCACATTCTATAAGAAAATTTTTTTTCCGGGTCGATCTGAGACAATTTTTTTCCGGGCTCAAAAAAAGGCAGTGTAAAACCTTCCTTTTTTAAGAAAAATCAGGATACACACATATTGGTTTCGAATATATAAAATTATAAGTTCAAAAACCATGATATATTTGCAACAATAAGGTATAATAATCAATATAATACAGTTTTATTGTACTTATACTGCCATATTGTATTGGCCCAACCCTCAAAATCTATGGAACATCACTCATGATTATAAGTGGTATAGAATTCATCTATAAACTTCACCAAAATTGCGAGCCACATACACATACGCACTGAACTGACTGTCGACTGAACAAAAACCGCATACAATATACAATACAGAGCTTTTAATAATTTAATGCAACCTTTGCAACGGTTGTTCTCAAAATAAGCTTATGCTTATCTTGCAGATTCAGCATCATTACAATTATATCATATGTTAAAAATTATTATATGGGTTGTTAAACTAACAATCTTTCAACCGCAAGATTTTCATTTAAGAATGCGTTATATACTAAACTGTATTATACACAATAATAATAAACTATATTTTAATGTTTATTATCTATTTGCTCTTGGATATATTTAAATATCTAAGATCATATTTAATACAATATCATTATTAAGGCTGATTCTCACTATACATAACTTTTCCATACCATATCCATTCCATAACTATTCCGTAAATTATTATAGGCTACGAAATTGACCTTTAAGTGATATGTGCGTAAGACATTCATGCGCGCGCTAATACACATTCGCCTTCCATATGTGAACGGAAAGGAGAATGTGTATTAGCGCGCGCGGCTAAATGTCTTACGCACATATCACTTAAAGGTCAATTTCGTAGGTATAATAATTTACGGAATGGTTATGGAAAGGATGTGGTATGGAAACGTTATGTTAAGTAAGAATCAACCTTTATAGTGAGAATAATTTTGATTAGACATATTCATATTGTACAGCGTGTGTCAAGGTTTGTTTGATTTAATAATAGCTTCTCGTACTGATTACAACATAATTTTTACTATATGATTTTAACAATCCTTTTTTCTCCGTGCAGGGATATTCAGATAAAGGAATACAATACCTCATTGACACCTTTACATTTACGACTTTTTCTCATCCGTAATAAACGAATTTATTTATATTTCTTTATTCAAACTATAGTAACTATGGTAATTGCTTATTGTGAGTCCAGAAAATGACCATATCGAATTGAAGGAAAATAATATGGAGATGTGTTGGAATAATTCATGGCAGATTCCGCTTATCGTAAATATTATCGTATGTAAAATAGAATAAAGTAATTGTTATTTACATAACAGTCAGGAAAATGACACATTACTGGTGAGGAAATATTGAATTTAATTTCCGAGTCAAGTAATGTCGTTTCACTGACGAGTTTTGCATTAAATTTTACCCGAAAACGTATTTTAATAAATTTCAATTTTAATTTATTTAAATTAGTCATTATAGACATTTAGCAATGTGACCGGTGCGGCCGATAAAGTGACAGGTGGCAGGAAAAGTAGCCTGATCTGCCTCTGTCATGAAAACTAAAATTTTCGGACATTAAGTAGGGATGAAAATGAGGGTTTCATGACGATTTCGGGCAAAAAATCTTTAAAATGGGATTTTGATGAAAGTTTACAATAGTTTTATCACGAACGAGTAGGTAAATCCCGTTTTATGTAACTTAAAGTATGCAAAGTTTCTATTGTGTTGAATCTAATAAGCACTCTCATGCATTGAATTTAACCAGGGACAAAGCAAAATTAGAATTCTTCTGCACGTAAACAGAAAATTACGCAATCTCACTTGTGCTATACTACGATCATTGAAATAGGGGTTGTCATACTCACCACTGTCATGTAAAAAACGGTTAGCATAATTGTTCCAATAAAAACAAAACTGAAAATGCACATTTGGAGAGCGAACACAGCGTTCAATTCAAGTTGTATCGAATGCAACATTTGACTGTATTGGAGGGGTTCATTTTATTGGCCCTTTTAACTGTCTATTGTTTTACCCTCCGGTTTTAGTTAATGTAGCTATATTTTAAATTGTAAAGTAGAAAGCGCGCCATCTGCTGAATCTGCGTCTTTCGTATTTTTCAATGGGGA